AAAAGAAAACATCTAATGAAAGGGCTAAATGTGACATCAAAAATGTTAGTTTCTTTGCCAATGGTCTCCCCATGCCCATCTTTGCTGTAGAGTGTAGAAGAGTCACATACACTCTCTATACTTCAGTGGGATTGTCCAGACTTCTTTGGGGAAATCTAACTCAAAGCAGCTAGCTAAATCAAGAATGGATGGATGGGTTGGCCCATGTGGAAGTGGGGCCTCTGGAAGTAAACCAGAGATACCTCTCATATCCTCTAACCTCTGCTTCTCTCTTACATTGGCCTTACAGCACCCTAACAAAGAAAGGCCTTTACTATAAAGCCAGTGGCAGCCACCACGCAAGCTCGGGAAGGGAACACATCTCTCTCCCATGTCCAATACAGAAATCTCAAGGAAAGACTTCAATGCCCTGTTAGGCTGGCTTCCACTCCTCTACAAGACCTATTGCTTTTTGGCAGGAAGTAAGAATGTGACTGCAGTGGGAAACGACAACCCTGGCTCATGAGCCCATCACCATAGCAGGATGCAGGGGCTAGTGAGAGACAGTATCTGTTTCTGTAATAAGGGGGAGGGATTTAGTGGGTAAAAAAGAAAAACAATAGCTATCCTAGTCTTTTATGGGTGGCATCCACATAATTAATCTAATGGTATTTTTCATTTTATAAAATTAGTGCCTTTATATTATAAGACTGTTTTAGAAAATGGGGGGGGGGAGCATCACCATCTTCATAGAGTTCTGTGTCAGCAGAAATGTAATATACTGACTACCTCATCGTTGAGCAAAATGAATGCATGGTAGCTGAGGTCATTACAAATGAGACCATGAAGGCCAAGAAATTATTCAGCTTGGTGGAACCAGTTCTCTTGCACTCAGCTGGAAAAAACAGAACAGAAATGGCACAGAAACACCATTTTGTCATCATATAGCAGGCTGGCCGTGGGAGACTCTTAGTCAGTACCCAGCATGCAAACCACCACCCAGCTTCTCAAGCCCAAGAGGCCAAGCGGCATCATCAGGAAATGAAGGATACCCTGAGTGCTTCGGGGCTCGGATTGAAGATACTGTCGCAAACCAGTGTGGTTTTTATTTGGGGGGGGGGGGCCGGGGGGGAGACAGACTTTGAAAAGATTCCATCCACTTCTGCGAAGGAAAGAGGCACAACAGCTCATGGGGAGAATGGAGTTTGGTGGAAAAGCAAGGGCGGGGCTGGTTCATCATAGGAAATAGGACTCCACCCCTGTGGAGGCTTTAATTGAGGTAGTTTAGGTATGCATGTGTATCCCCTCCCTGCTCAGAAAGATGGAGACATGTATGGATGAAGCTGGGCAGGGCATCATACCCCTTCCATCACAGCTGGCCTCTCAGAAGTAGTGGCCCTCACCTGTCCCGGGAAGTGGGGAGTCACAACAGCACACGTAACACCTAAGCATGGAGTGTTGCAGCACTTCGGCTGGGGTGGTTAGTGTTCCGCTCTGACATTTCTAGTGTAGGTGCACTAGTAGTGTGCTAGGTTTTTTTTTAACACTTCCTAATTCTATGTACTATTGAGAAGGGAGGAACCCTGGTGGTGGTCTGGGTTATACCTTGGGCTGCAAGGCTAGCAGTTTGAAACCACAAGTCACTCCACAGGAGAAAGATGAGGCTTTCAATTCCTGTAAAGATTTACAGTCTCAGAAACCCACAGAGGCAGCTCTACCCTGTCCTATAGCATCACTATGAGTTGGAATTCACTAGATGGCAGTGAGGTTGAGAAAGGAGCTTTAGTGGTGCTGTTAAGTAAGCGTTGGACTGTTAACCACAAGGTCAGCAGTTCAAACCCACTAGCTTTTCCGAAAGAGAAAGATGGGGATTTCTGCTCTGGTCAAGATTTGTAGCCTTGGAACCTCTATTTAAACTTGCTATGAGTTGGAATTGACTAATTGGTCAATTAGTCAATACTACTGAGATAGTGAGACATGCTAGAGAGAGGAAAAAAGGCAAGGAGAGGTGCAGGCTGTATTGTATACAGGATCCACCTATGCTGTAGGGTCTTGAGAAAGAGAATCACAACAATTCTCTTGTTACTGGTAAAAACCACTCCTCGCCAGTGCAGAAAACGGGGCAGATAAATGGAGAGGGAATGAGGCATCGGTGGTTCAGTAGCAGACTTCACCCCTTCCACGTGCAAGGGCCTTGTTTGAGGCCCAGTCAATAAATGCACTTCGCGCACAGCCACCACTCTGTCTTGTGAGTTCTCGTGACGCTGAACAGACTTCGGGGAAACTTCCAGACGAACACGGACTACCAAGGAAGGAAGGAAGCCCTGGAGAGTGACTATGGAAAATTAGCCAGTGTAAACGCTACAGATCACAGCAGCCTGGATCACAACCTATTATGCGGATGATACAGGACCAGGCGGAGTTAGAAACAAGGGGGAAGGGCACAGGGTCGTGGGCAGAATGCCTAGTTAACACAAGTGTGGGAAACTCAGTCCTGGGTCACACTTGGCCACAGCTTGCCCTGTACTGTAGTGGTTACAGGCAATCATGACTGACTGAAGTCTATACTTACATTTTGGATTTTAAAAAGACTCGTTCTTTATGCTTCCCTCATCACATGTTCTTTGAAGACCTACTTTGTGCTGGACTCTATTCTAAGCCCTCTATTCTAAGACAGACACAGTGTCTGTCCCCTGGAAACATGCATCTCAGTGGAGGAGATTAAACTTCTAACGCCAGACTGAACAGGGGAATTACTGACAACAAAATACCACTGCGTAGTCCCAGCGTGAGATAATACCGTCCTGAACGTGGAGGGCTCTTAGACAAGCCGAACCGAATCCCTGCCCACGAGGGTGCTGTGGTAATGAATGGATATCGATGTCCACTCGTGGCTCTCGGGCCAATCTACAACATTATAAGAACAGCTTTCTTTCTGTGACCCACAGTCTGTCGTGTGGACAAATACATACACACCCTTCCATCTCCTAAGGCTGTCTATTTTTGTGGTCTACCAAAGCATTATTCCAAGTTGTGCAAATGAGCATGTGTTTGGATTTCCAAAGTCTTTCACCACTTATTATAGTGTCTGTTCCGTTTTTGAAAAAATCATAATAGTAGTAAAAATACAATAACAACCCTAACAGGTCCTTTTCAAAACCATCAGTGATGCTAAAGAGGTCGTGGACTGGATCGCAGTGGGGAGGATCTGGCTCCAGCAGGAGAAGAATTCAAAAACATACGCTTGGAGAAGAATGTGCCCACACATTTTACGTTCCAAGGCGCTGGGTAGATGGAAGAGATGAAGAAAAGGAAAACACAGATTCATCACACTGCAACTCCTCAGGGTTGGCGGGGAGGGAGAAGCCAGCCAGATATGCAGCAGAGAACGCTACAAGACAGGATACTGTACGTGCTACATGCTTTCTGGCACCCGTTCCTCCTCAGCCTGGCAGGTTTGGCTGAACACTTGTCTCCAGTCAGAGTAGTTGGGGGGATCAGAAGGAACTGTAAAGCAGCCCAGTGCCTGAGTGTGTAAACACCAGTCTTTCTTATGAGGGTGGCAAGGAGCTAGCTGCACAACTTACCCACTGTATGCCTCAGCCCCAGATTTGGGCAAGGGACTACACTTCCTACTGGGACCTCAGCTCTCCACAGAGGACCACCAGGGAGGGCCGTCAACACAACTCTGCAGAAGCTCCCCTATGTTGCGTGTATCTAAACCTTCAAGGGAGCTTACCAGGCAGAAAGACAAGATTTCCAAATAAGCTGACAGCCTCTACATGCAGTGGCCAGACAGCTCAAAAAATCACATTCCATGCCATGGATTCCCATGTAGTTCAATGGCAATAAGGCTTACTTGGATTGCTGACAAGAAGACTTTTTAGAACTTGTCCTTTAAGTCGGGACTCCCGAAAGAAACACAACACAACACCACCACCCCTGTGTTGCTTCCCCTGAGAAATATTAAGACATGTGAGTTGGGGTGTGGCCCCCTCTCAGCTAAAACCAGTATAAAGTCGGTACCTTTATTTGTTGTGTATATATTTGCAAGGGTGGGTGTTTGTATGTGTGCACTTTTGAAAACAATAACTGCAGCACCACAACCTGCTGGGAAGCCTGATTTCCCATCATTGCCCTTGAGAACAACAAAAGCGTCAGAGACTATACTTGGAGAGAAACTATTGTGTCAAAACCCCCACTAGATAGCGGATGCATGCCTACTGAGGAATTAGGGAAGGTGTCTTTGGGCTCTGCTGGTCAACCTAGGAGCAAATGGTTAATGTGCTTCCATCACTACATTTTCTGATGGGAGTGTTACCGAAATCTTGTCCTGGCAAAGATCACGTACGTCAAGCCACCTCTGTAGCCCCCAAGAGCTCAAGGGAGTGAATGAAAGCTGGGGAACTTCTTGAGGTCTCAGGAATCAGCGCACTGCATTCCAACAACCCCGGTATTGCTAGAGAAAAACCCAAGGGCAAATGCCTCAGATTCCCACTGTCTCCCAAAGACTTTTTCCTTCTTGTACACCATTTCAGACTCCAAAGTATCCCGAGAACATATCAGAAATTGACCTGGGCGGGGTAGAGGAGGAAGAGAAGAGAATTCGGAGACAAGAAGTGCTTTTTAAATTTGAGCCACTGATGCAGAAAGAGAATCTCTTCTTTTGATTAAAAACCCCTCGCCTGGATCCCCCAAACGTTTCTCCAGTGGCAAAACACCTCCTTGTCTGACGACTACAACTGCCTCATCGAAAGGCATCGCCTTCCTGCACCCGCTCCCCCGGCCCCCCACCCCACAAAAAAGGCATAACTTGAAAATCACAAGACATCCTGAGACGCTCCAAAAGAAAGCCTTGGCTCTGTGGACCGGCAGCAGAGACTGTAGGGAACAGAGACGCAGCTGTGGAACTTCTCTGGGGCTGTATTTATTTAAAGGGCCCTGTGGTTGAGGCTGGGGCTTGGTAGTAAAAGGAGGGTGGGACGGGAAATGGGGAAAAAGAGCTGAATGGATTTACTTACAGTCCTCGGAGCCTCAGCCAGATTTTCTCAATCTGTTCCGGTTGCAGGTATTTCAGAGAGTTGCTCTCAAATTCTTCAATCTCCTTGGTGGGCGACTCCATGGCTGCAGGGATCACCGGGAGTAAGGAGGAGAGAGTTTGGGCTGTCCCCTCCAGGCGCTCCCCGTCCCTGGCGCCCAAGCCCAGACTTAGATGGGGCTCCGATCACAGGGGACCATGGCTCCAGGTGAGCCCCGGGGGCAGCTGCGGGTCCCAGCCAGGGTCCCACACTAACGCCCAGCGATAGGCACCTCGGATCTTTTCCAAAGCCAATGGGCAGGGACG